AGCAGTAACCTGCTATTCCTGAGCTTTGAGTTCACAGCCTCCTGATATCAGGACACAAATTAGAGTTAGGTCTTTCAAATAAACATCATAAAAGACATCACATTTTGGACAGTTACATTCACTTGAAAGCCAAGGCTAATTTTCTCCATTGTAGTCCTGTGTGCGGCAATGTATTAGTTAAAGTTGAATAAATCCTCAGAGTTAAAATGCAATAAATTACTCAAAAATCACTGTGTGATCATATTGCTGTTAGTTATGGATGGACATCTTCACAGTGGAAATAAGACTTCGACATCAGAAAGACTCTTGGCAGACAGTAGAAGTGTTATTTTTCATCCATGATGTCAGTGCATGATGACGATCTCCTATAGTTTTTAACCTTGCTCCGGGTCTTTGGGTGTGCTGAAAAAGCAGCCTTGAATTCCCACATTAATTTTCCCTTCAGCCAACACAGACATAAAATTCTTGATCACATATAATAAGCTGGACCTGAGGAGCTGCACAGAGCAGATGTGAGGCGAGAATTATCTGCAAGGTAGTGAAAGCCAGATAGTGAGTGCACGTAACACAACACGTGTGCTGCTAAGCACCACCTGGTGTTCTTTGTGTGTGTCTGGCTGCTCCTCATTCTGCACGTTTGCAGGGTAGACCTGGACACCACTAAAGAGGCACAGAAAAGCAAAACAAGCGAGCTATAGACAACCGCACACTCATACGGAGACAAAGAATGCGATCGGGAGAATCAAACTGAAATCAGAGCTTTTAAAATGTATCCACATAAGGCACAGGTGTGGTGTTTAGTTTTCTGACTTTGTGCGGTTCGCTTGTGCAGGTGTGTCGACGCAGTGATCGCAAGACCTTTGGAGGAGTTGGTCTCGTTGCGTTTCTAAATGAACTCCAGAGTGGTTGGTTTTTGGTGTGAACCTCATCCAATCAGGATCCCAACCAGCTACCAGGTGTATGTTGTAAGTTATAGCTAAAAAAAAAAACTATAACCCCGTGTGCTTTGCATTCTGAGACGCGGCAAGATACTATAGATGTGCAAAAGTCTACACCAGCTAACAGCTAACTGTGAAACAAATGCAAATGTTCAGTGTACTCCAATAGTCCAGGACACAGCACCTTTTTCCTGTATTTGCTTTTGTTCCTTGCATCCCAGACACATCTGGGCATTAAGGAGACTGTATAAAAAAAACCCAACCAAACAAAAAAAAAAACACGGGGAAAAGCTCCAAGCTCTTCCATGCTGAAAGAAGGTGGTTAGGATGCCTCCTGGGCAATTCCCATTAGAGGTTTTCCAGGCACCCCTCACTGGGAGGACACCCAAAACTCACTGGAGAGATTATGTACCACATCTGGTTTGTCTTGTCATCTTATCAACTTTAGATAATCAGAAGGTAATGGATGGATGGAGAAGTTATGTGACTTGTGTGGTGGGAATAGGCAGCAAACGATTAGGTAGAGCTACTCTACAGACCTGCTGTGCAGTATGTGGAGCAGGTCATCTACTGATAAGAATCCCTGGCTGCTCCAGTCTGCATGCCAAATATGCAAGATACTAACCCCAAGTTGCTATGAGTATGAATGTGTGTGAATGTTAGAAAGAAAGAACTTAAGCATAGAAGAAAGTGTTTATGTGAATGAGGCATGTTGTATAAAATACTTTAAGTGCTCCGGTAGAGTAGAGAAGCTCTATATAAGAATCGGTCTATTTACCACGAGTCTGGTTCACTCTGAAAAAACGCTTTCTTGACTAATCCCTAACTTTTTAACAATTTTACTGTGTTTTCAGAAGAAAGCAGCTATTCAAAAAAATCATTCTATTTTTAATAAGCATTAGATCTAAAAGGTTCACACTAAGGATTTGTGATAAACAGCGCTTGTATAGTGATCAACAAAGCAGTCACAGTTGTGTATTGCTCACAGTGAGATTATACTCCATATAAACTGCAACACACAAAAGTGAATGGAATATATGTAAAAGCATCTCTGTAGAGTATCGGATTTATGTTGGATATGTGATGGAGCAAAAAAAGGATGGTGCAGCCTTTGCGTTCCTTTATCAGACTAGAAAAACACGTTGTCTTTGGTCTCTTTCATGAACAGAAAGCCTTCTGAGAAATATGCTGAATCAATGCAGAACAAACAACTTCTCGTCCCGCTTCCCAGCACAGATGAAGTTTAACTCTCCGTCCTTGTACGTACCGAAGAACATCAAAGCTCAGAGACTTGTGTGCTGAATGTTTGTTAGGTGAATCATGCTCTGTCTCGCCGATGAATCATAATTGCTCAGAAATAGAATAATTTGAAATTAACGAGAAGGCATCAAAGTGAAGGAAAATTAAATGTTATGTTACAAATTCCATTTAAAATTATTCAACCTTGCAATTTTAATGCGTCGCTTGGATGCTGCCTCGTTCCCCTTTCGTATTGACGGTGGTCGTATTTAGCATTAGTCTTTTGGTTGTGTGTCGGCAGATTGTTGCTTCTCAGGCTGACATTGTCACTCGAGCGTCGCTCTGAGATGATGTCACAAGCACACAAACCCAAAATAAAGTGAGAAAACATTTTGCACTCATACATAGTTTCTCCTTCCCCTCCCCTCCATTTTACCATCTGTCCCCCGGCTCTCCTCGAATGCCTCATGTCAGCTAAAATTAACTGAGAAGTGCAGATGTAGTCAGGAAGAATCGCTCTCTCGCTGCCTCGGCGTCTCACCTCGTGCTTTCCGTCATAAGCGGCTCCTCGTGAATGGAGAGACTTCACGCTGAAGTGTTTGGGGCAGCTGACCCAAAAATAAATGCAGGGTGTCTCGAGAGGATTCCCTGCTGGCAGCGGCAGCTTCTGAACTGTGAACACATGATGTCTGCAGCCTTCAACACATCTCTTGCTCGGAAAAATCCAATCATGAAAGGCCCGAATGTACTTTGAGCAGAGGGGATGCAACAAATACAAAACAACAGCACTAAATGCATAAGGACACATCCTTTCAGGCAGCTTTGGTGTTATGAAACAGAGCTGCTCTGGTGCTTTTATTGACTTCTGTTATGTCATTTGAGAATTTAGAATTGAGTCATATGAGAATTTGTAATGTTTCACTGTGTTGTCCCAAAACCTGCCTTCATGCATGATTTTATCTATAGAATTTGCTCAAATATGCTGAAAATATTCAATTTTTAGAACAGAGTGTGCATATTTGGATCTAAGAATAAAGGCTGGATACACACAAGCTTCCAAATTCCTCATATGGAGGAGGATGTGAGCCGATGACAATGTAGAAAATCAAGATCACACATTTTTCTCTTATACTGACATTATTAAATAACAGTTTTAAACCACTGTGCTTGTTTACCCATACAGCTTGTAATAGCTGAATGTGTTGCTGCTGGGTACCATAATTGAGCAGGCATTATTTTATGCTTGTGTGGATTAAATTGAATTTTTAGACGCATTAATGTCTCGACTTGAGGAAAGGCAGTGTTGGTCTATACTTGGTCCGCTCTGTCACAGAAATTTACAGTTCCCAGATGAAGAACGGTGCTGTCTTGTTTTCTACTTAGGAACCGAAAACACTTTAATTAACTCGCAGGCTTTACGTCGGCTCCGTGTAATGGGTTATTTAAACAATGAACATTGTACTGTCACACTGCTCGTCAATAGCAGTGACAGATCTCCTGGATATACTTCACATTCACTCTGAGGCTGTGTTTTTATTTCTTTTTTCAAGAGTCTTACATAATATGCAGCCAGTGCATCAATCAGGGCATCACTCAGCAGGAGACAGGAGCACACGAGGTGCTTTTCAATCTTCGATACTAGCCCAGCTCACTTGTCATTAATATTATTATTATTGTTGTTGTTTTTTTCTAAGCATAACACTTGCTGCATTTAACACAGTAGGTGTGAAAGAAGCTGAAAAACAGCGTCTTTTTGTGGCTGCATTGTGGCCAAATTGGTATCCTTACTCCAACAGTGGATCTCCTCATGTGTGAATGTTGAGTCACGCTGGAAAAATGAACCTAGAAAGAAAACAAGTTACACTGAATTCATTTGGAACCGTTCGCTTTACAACCTGGCGACACATACTGGGAGAAAAAACCTGCCTGTGTATCACAACCACAAACTTCTCCATTAACTGGTCTTACCAGAAAGTCTTCCAGAGCTTTTGTGGTGGAGTTGTTTCAACATTTAGCCTAAGGTGGGCCCATTTTACAAGCACTTTTTAAATGACCATAATCCTGTTATTGTTGAGACAAAACTCAAACGGTTTCTGAAAGTAGATAAGACGAGCTTTACGGAGATATTTAATGTATCATAGTAGCACAAGGCATTCATAAGGCACTGCTAGCTGAACACTGATAGAAAGCGATTTCATCATCTGTGTGTCACCTTGCTGTAACTCCTCAACCAGTCTGGGCTAGAGAGAAAATTCAAATGCTTCCTGAAGGATGAGATTTTATTTTTTTCATTTACAGCCAAAATTAGAAAATAGCTCCAGTAGGTCTGGGTGAATCTTGTTTGCAGTATCCTCTAGTTTGGCCATGTAACTTGAGGAATGATAAAACCTAAAGACATGCAGAGGACGCTGGTGCAATGGCTGCTGCTTTGGGTGAGACTTCTAATAAATAGAAGAATTATTGTTCTTGATTTTTCCTGAGGATGTTTCCACGAGGAAGTGTAAAGCTCTTAAAGTAGGACAGGCTGCTCCTGAGCATTACAGCCTCCTTGGTTGGATCTATATCTACTGCATTAGTTATATTATCAGTTCTAATCCGCCCCTTTCTCAGCTTGTCTCATACAAGCAAGGAGGCCAGTGGATAGATATTTAAAATATAGATGTTATTTTTTTGTACTACACCCCCCTCCTCTCTCTCTCTCTCTCTCTCTCTCTCTCTCTGTCTCTCTCTCTCTCTCTCTCTCTGTCTCTGCTCACTGGTGCGCGTCAGAGTTTGCGCAAGCAGCCTCTCCGCCTCTCTGTGTAGTACACTACAGCCCTGCTCCGTCTCTCCCATTCACCACAGTTTATTATCACACTCGGACGGAGCGAGTACAGAGGTGCTGTTCTTCCTCCTCCTCTCTTTATCCCATTTTGGATTATCACTGTGCTTTTCATCATGCTGGAAGTGGAAGGTAGGAAACCATCCCATCCAGAAAATAAACCCCTGTAATGCATGCAGCTTTTATAATACCATTTCCCCGGGTAACGTAAAACTTTAATTGTCCCTGGATCGGATCATTTTTGGACACCTCTGATTGTGTCCGCCGTGTCACCGCAACACATGCCAAGCTGCTGACTTTGTAAAGTGTCGTGTAGGGATTTTTCTGGTAAGAGGTCAGTGAGAGCCGCCGTTAAAATGTTAATGCTTTTGTTGTGTAACCAGGAGGAGTGTCTGCCTGTGTGCGTAACGCCGTGATGTTGAATTTCATCAATGAAGAGCTTTAGGAGAAGGGTTTCTTTATTTTTTTATGTTTTAATGATGATAATGATAATGATGATGATGATGATGGCGATGATACGTGTGATACAGCGGCAGATGTTATATCTTAGTCTCTTTTGTGCTTTCCTCCTTTGTCTTGAATAATTCAGAAAGTTCTTTGATCTCAGCAGGAAATACACAGACTTGTGAGCTGGGTTGAAATTGTATTTAGGTGAACGTTACAAATAAAAGGAACTCTTTACATTCTGGAGCTCTTTATATCTCAATGCCAATATAAACAGAGCTCAGTGCTGGCAGCCATAGAAAGGAAATTAAACCGCATTTTTAAAAAAGGGGTGTTTGTATTAAGTCTTGTAGTGTTTTCTGAATTCTGCTCTGAATCTCTTCAGGAAGATGACATATGCCTTCAGCTGAACTCAGTTGCGTCTCTGACCGTTTTTGTATTCTCCAAGCAGCCTCTTGTTGCCAAGAAACAATAAGTCATGTTTTCAGTAAGATGAAATACAGGCTGGTGGGTTTTTTGCCGGTTAATGATGCTCCTGGATTTTTCTTTTCCTCCCCCTGCCAAACTGCACACAGGATTGGTGTGCGAGGTTGATTAATGTATGTTCTTGTTTAATGAGATGCTGTTGCTGGGTTTGTTTTGTTAGACTGAAAAAAGAAAAAAAACTAGTGTGGACTTCGGTGCTCTTCTTTATCTTTCTCCCTCACTCTCTCCCTTGCTCTCCTCTTCCTCTGCCTCATTCATGTTAATGGAGAGATGCTGAGGGCGGAAGTGTAGGCTGTTGCTAGACACTAATATAGCTGTTCTAAAAAAATAGGCATTTTCATTTAAGGAGTCATCTATTACAATATTTATGTGTTTTTTTTTGTTTGTTTGTTTTTTAAAGTGGTCGCTCCACTCTCATCCATCCTGCTCCGTTTTTTCTCTCCTTTCTTTTCTCCCTCCAGTGAACGGGACGCCGGCCAGTCAGCTGTCAACTCCTCATTCGGGAAAATCTCCCAGCCCCTCCCCAACCAGTCCAGGCAGCCTTAGCCGACGCAGGGTAAGAATGGGAATACACGAGCACGCTCGCAAAGCACGCACTAAGAGTCAGCCCGTAGCATTTAGTGACTCCAAATCACAAAACTTATAACACAATTATTCTATTTTCTCAGGAAATGGACAAAGCCGGGACTGAGCATAGGCCGACTACATCTTAGAATCACTAGATTATGAAGAAAGCACAACTTCCCAGCATCTTTAGTATTTCAGACCTCACCCAGTGCTGCTCTGGGCTTCCAGCAAGGCAAATGTTCATTTCATTTGGATATTATAGCACATATTCTGTCCCTCATAAAGAACTCTGTCTGCCTTTGGTGGCTCAGCACTGAATAACGTTAACACCGACCTGTTGAGATCACCTGATCTGCTAGTCGGTAAATTGTGCAGTATCTGATATAAAGATGAGACTGGCTGATTGGCAGTCTGCCCCAGTCTGCAGTGTGTTTTTAATTTCCAGAAATTGGATTGCATCCTTCTTCACCTGCTGGGCATTGCATTGCATTTGACCATCTTTCAGCAAAAAGATGCAATCAGTACACACTTCTGATATAGAATTTCTTTTGTTTTTTTAATCAAGTCACATTATTTTGTACATGTCGAGTAGTGTAAATGATGTAGAAATACATTTTATACTAGTGTATTTGATTATTTAAGCCCTTTTTTGTCATGTATGCCTGTTAAAGTACCTTAATAGCAGTCTGTTTTCTGTAGCTAACAAATAAAATTACTGCTGTGCAGAGCAGGAGCATGCAACTCAAAGGGAAAACTTCGAATTAAATATCTCGACTTCGTGTACACTGTGCGCGCGCGTGTGTGTAGATGCTTATATCAAAGTATTTGTTAATCCAGTCTTTGACAGTGATGTGGGTGAGCTTTTAAGAACAGCTCCAATCCCAATCACTCAGCTTTCTGACAGCATCTCTTAAATTTGCGCTTAAGCCGACTGCTGTTTTAGTGTCTTCTCCCTCCTAAACAAACACTCGCTAGCTCAGTTCACCTCAGCCTCTAGAATACCGAAATACAGATACATGTGTATCCACATAGGCTTCTACTCGCAGGTTTCGTGTGTTTCTAATGCACACTGATTGAAACTCACTGCACGTTCTGCCTGACTGCAGGGATGCAGCTATGATGTATGTTGCAACTATTTATTTACACAGGCGGATTTTATGGGAGGAAAGCAGAGGGGGTCATTACCTTTTATATAAGTATGTGTGTGCGTGTGTGTGCGTGTGTGTGCGTGTGTGTGCGTGTGTGTGTTCATGCATGACCGTATCCTCAGTCAGCGTAGGTTAAAGAGTCCATTCCTTGGGTTTTCCTGTGCTATTTTCCGTGAATCGGGAAACATAGATGAATGGCAGAGAGTCTGAATCCATCAGTGAGAAGTTATATTGACGCAATCTGAAGGTAACCCAGGATAACAGATCAGCTATGAGCTGTAGCTATAACAGGGCTTCCACATTCATCTGAATTATGGAACTGGGTCATTATAGTTTACAGTGTTGAGAGGAAATGTTCTGGCTCGTGCGCACATTTATAAGCTCTACCTCCCTTTCTATGTTCTTTGCTCTGGTTAAATAAATGTGGGGCAGTCATTGTAGAAAATGACCCCGCCCACTTTCTGCCTCTTCCACAATATGAAAATCCAGTGCTATAAACGCAAACACACCACCTATCCCACCTATCCTTTGGTTTTCGTAACCTCCTTAAACCTTCTTTTCTAGCCCATTTCAGAGCTCACTGTTGCAGCAGTTACATTCCAGTTGAGTGTCTGTTTCTCAAAGAGGGATTATTCCAGCCTCTGCAGCAAGCCCGCGATGGCTTGACTGCTGTAAGGAGGGGAAGAAGCCTCACAGGCCATTATCTCTTCCTTCCACTCTGCAGCTCCACGCTCTTCAGCCATGTTACGATGTAATTCTCCTCTCCACTTCTTACTTCTTCTATCTACCCTGTTACAGATTTCCTCCCTGTCCCTGTCCCTTCCCTCCCCGACACCTTCTAATTTCTCTTTTACAGTCGTTTCCCAGTCATTCTCACACCCACCCCCTCCCTCTCGCCTCCCCATATCAAAGGGTATTAACCTCATGGGGAGAAATTATATTCCATCATCTCTCTTATAGATGTTATTTAATCTTCTTTGAGAAGGAGGCAATAAGTCCAAGACCCTAATTTGCACATTTCCTCCTCTCCTTCTTTGTGATTTGCGTGTAAACCCGCACGAATAATTACAACTCTGCACCCCTTTAAAACTAGCAAGTAACATTACCAACCCTGAAGAGCAATCTGAGGCTTAGAGTGGCTAAAATAACACAGATATGAGGTTTAGGTGGTAAAATGCAAGTTAAATATAACAAATAAAAGAATGAAAAATCTATTTCCTAAGCAGCCACAGGGGCTCAGTGACCTACTGCGAGTGCTGTATTTAACAGTTCACCTCGCTGGACCATGCATTTAAACACTTAGAGGCACTTTGCTGCTTGAAGTAGGTTGCTAGCACATCTAGGACCATCACAACCTATTTCCCCAAGCAGAGACTACAAACATAGCATTGCACCATTGCATGCACACGTCTTCAGAAGAAGGTGCATGCACAGTAACTTTCATGTTCGTGCACACTTCAGTGGAACACTTTTGTACAGAAAATTTGTGCACAGCAGCTTCATGCACACTCACACATTTTGCAAATTTGATGCTCTCTGTGACCCATTTTTACTAATTGTCAAGCGACGCATGAAAGTCTGGTCTACATTCACAAAATCGTCCCCCTGCCCGCCGTCCCCCCGCCCTTCCACTTTGCACTTCTTATGAGCTTTTCAAGGCCGCTTGCCTCAGTGAAAGCACTGAGAGCATCCTAAATTTCCGTATTAGTTTTATTTTCATATAAGATCTATAGACACATTATTCCACACAGGCACGCACCCACAACAGTGTTTTCTGTCAATATCAGCTCTGAGGCATAATTCAATGTGCCACCGAGGTCAGCGCTCTTCGCAGTCTGTCCGCTCCATTTGGTGTGAAAACAAATAAACATACAAAAAAAGACAATGCATTAAGAGGAGAGAGTGACAGATCGAAGGCGACACTAACAGAAGGTCTGTGTCGCAGCAGCTGTGATGCATTTAGGAGAGTGCTAATTGTTATCTGTAGTATCACCTTCATCCTCCTCTCACCGTTCATCCATTCACATCCGTAATCTGTTGAATTGCATGCTCCGTCTCTCATTCTCAGCGTTCATGTTATGTGTCGGGTGATTCATTTTGAAATTATTTGTGTGCGAGTATGTGTGAAAGGAAGAGTGCCGACTGAAGCAGAAAGTGCGCATCGTGAACTTCTTATAAATGTCTCATCTCATTCCCACGAGTGTATTGTTGCTGAAGATTGTATTTGTTATTTTTGGTTGTAATATATTTCTTATTATGTGTTGTGTTTGATGTCATTAGTTGGCTTGTTTCTGTGACTGTCAAAGAGACCGGCCGCATCACACGGTGGACTGACCCGGAAGAGTGTTTTTTGCCTTTTTTTCAAGAATCATTTTTTGTCTTTTGTTTGTTTGTCACACGCACAAAAACAACAACCACAGAAAAACATCAGTTATCCAAATTACTCACTAATGATTCAAATAGCACTCGCATCTAAAAAGGCTTGATGATAATTTTGGCTCTTTCCATTATTGCGGATTTTTGTAAACATGTCAATTATCGACATGTTGTCGTGGTTCCATCGTGCGATGCTGCTCTCTCTTTTTGGCTCATTTTTGTTTTTGTTTGCTAAATGTGTTCATTTTCATTTGTTGACGTCCTCATTAAATTCATTGTCATTTCATTTTCATTTCGTGGTCTTTATTCTCTTAACTCGACACCGTCGCTCATGTTCCTCATGTTCCATCAGTACAGCCGTGGGGATGGCGATTTTCTTCTGTAGCACATTTATCAGTGCTTCTCCTTTGTTAAACCTGCCTGCTGTGGGCATTCATCAGAGCAGAACAGCTATTACAACACAAACAGTCTCAGAGGAGCAGTTATCTTTCATTGCTCACTGCTTTTACTCTCAATTTCATATATATATGGGCGGGGCAGCCTAAATCTCCCCTTCTTCCCTTCTTTAATTTTCCCTGAAGTATTTAATCACGTTTCTGTGATTTCCTGGGATTGGAGTCCATACGGATTGTGATTAGGAACCTTCACTGTGTCCAACTGGCAGAGCAGAAAGACAGAATCCCCCAAATGGTTTTGATCTTTTCATGAAAGTCAAGTAGATTATGTTTTCTGTCCGTCTCCCGTACCCTGTGTTCTTGAGGAACAACAAGAAGGAAAAAAGTCCCATTAGCATCAAATCTTATTAGATTTTTACCACCAAAGTAAACACTAATAAATCTTGCTTCTGCTGGATATTGCCTGACAGGGAAAGCAAAAATAAGAGGTCTGGCTCTGGCAGCCTGAGGGGCAGAGACCAAGAAAGCCTCGCTATGTGTGCTGTAATCAGATTCAAACAGAGGCATGAAGGACAAAGCTGGCATTACGCTTAAGTTGGTTATGTAAATGTGTGGTGCATTTTTAATGCTCGGCTCTACAGTTGACAGATTTCCTTTCCAGCCACGGAATGAATGATTCTTTCTTTCTGCTGCAAACCTACTTCTGAGATGATGCTCCACATTTAAGGTCAACTGTGGACATCCTGTTTAATTCCTATTTATGAGCTGATCAGTATGCAGTTGCTGAGTGTTGCCCTCGCAGGTCTGAAGAGCAGTGGCTCCAGTCATGATGTAAAAGGTTTGTCAGTGTCGTTGTGAGTCATAGTTACAGAAAAGGTGTAGAGATGTAGAGCTAGGAATAGTGTATTGTGCAACAGGGAGAAAGCTGGAGTGTCTAACAATAACAAGACAGTTCCTGCCAAATCTCATGATCAATATCAGCCAGACCAGACTCCATACATTTCTCTGCTGCTTCATCACTCCACCTCTCTCCCTCTCTCCCTCTCTCTGTCTTTCTCTGTGTTTCCCACTCTGTCTGTCACCCCATCTGTCTCATCGTTTTCCACACAGAAACGAGAGACTCAAATTTCATAGAAGGCTGAACCTATCTCTCAGCCCGCAGACAGGAAGTGCCCATATATAGGCTACCGTCTCTACACTGGAAGCTGCTGTTCTCCTGTCTGTGAGCAGTTTCCATAGCAACAGTATTTTGTTTCCCTCAGTGGCAGGAAGCGAGAGAGAGAGAGAGAGAGAAAGAGAGAGAGAGAGAGAGAGAGAAAGGAGTTCAAAATGAGAAAGCGAGCTGAGGACAGCACTGGATGTGCGATAAGAGCACAAGAGAGGTAAATATCCGAGTTGGGATGAGAAAATAAAAGAACAGAATAAGGATGTTTTTTGAGATAAAGCACAGGAGGGTCATTGGCTTTATGGGTATTAAGTGGGTTTTCTTGTTCCGGGATGAGTGCCCAGCCAACAACAACATTACATAAACCAAACTGAGCCTGACTCACAGCTACATTTACCTACGTGGTTTTCAGGTCACAGCAGCTGAGATGAGTAAAAGAGCAGACAGCTACTATGGCAGAGATACAGGGCAGATCAGCTCTGCAAATAGTTTTCAGATCCAAGTCATTACAGGCATGGCTTTTATCCCAGTCTGCCAGGACAGCAAGCTCCCCGGGATTTACAAATGCTTAGGACATTTCTCTTTCACTTAAAAAAAAGACATTCAAGATCACACACAAATGTTCTTTTCTGAGCTTTTAATCACAGACTGTATGTAAAAGATGGAATTAAACGCCGTGACATCACCCACAGAGTTTAAACATATCTTTAAGACTCAGTTTTGATTTTAAGGATATTGTCATGTTGTCAATTTTTGGAGCCAGAAGTCACTGTGTTTGAACAATAGGGTCCAAGTCCAATATTAATTATCAAACAAAATCACAGACAGCAGATCCAGCTCAGTGACTTGAAAGAGCAAATGTGAAGCTTAGCAGGCAGCAGTCTATCACGGTGAAAGGGATTATTGATGAGCGATTGTTATACAACGGAAAGCAGCAAAATACATCTGGCTACACATGTAATGGGAAAAATGTGTCATGTCCTGGAGAGGTCGTCCATAATTATGTAGTTGAGTCATGCATGACGCTCACAGACACAGACCATCTACAGAGCAAACTGCACTTGTTAATAATGCACAGTGGCAACGTTGCTCCACTTATATTTTAGAGGAACTGCAATGGTGCGTGTTGCCATCACTGGCCAGCCTGCGTCTTCCAGCTGCAGCTAGTGGATTTATTCAAGCACTGGAAACGCCCCAACCCCGAAGACTGACTGTAAGCCACGAGAACGGATTTGAGCAGAGGAGAGATTAGTAAAGAGTAAAGAAGGTGGTAAAATCCACCGAACACGTGAAAAACGCCACCTTCCAAACGAAACAGGATGAAAGTCTTCTAGTGCAGTAAAAGACTGAAGCAAAACAACAGAGTTTGGCAGCGAGGAGAAGAGAAAGGTGCACAGGAGTGGAACAGACACAGAAATACAAGAGGGGTAGATTCCCATTTACAGTCCCGACTAGATACTCTCCATCCTTGTTGCTTCCATGACAACCAGACAGAAGGTTACAAGGTGGAGGGCATAATGAGTTTTTGTCTTTAGATAGATAGATGCAGACGCCTCTTCTCATCCTCTCTCTTTCAATTTAATGACCCCCCACTTACTATCCAGATGAAAGGCATCTGCCTTTATTTAGTGTCACCGGAGCCCATGTTTTTATGATTTATTAAAGGTAATCGTAAGGAGTGAGAAAACAGGGAAGAATTACTTCCAGTTGTGAGGTGAATGGAAAGGAGCTTATTTGGATGCAATCATCTCTATGATATAGACACACATAGGGGGGTTGCTGGCTTATATGCAGATCAAGTAAGTCTGTTCGGACTCGTTTTCAGATTTTTTTTTTCATGAGCACAGTATAGACACAGCACAGGGCATTACATCAGAAAGATGCGCAAACACAGCCACAGCAGTAGGGCTGTTGTGAGGATAAGGCGGGTTACACAGTGTTCCTTTGTCTATTTTTGAACATACATATTTGTTTAGGCTAGGACTGTAGCAGAAGGGACTGTGATTGTGTTTGTCTGGGTTTTTTTTATCGTGATTATGGATTGCAAACTATTTTGGGTAATGCCGCAGATTAGTAATAAACCCCTTTCCATCCTGCTCTCTACCCTGTTCCTTTCTCTGCAGGGGTCCCAGGGTTCTTCCACCTCTCTGTCTTCCACTAAAGGTTCGAGCCCAGTGGAAGATGGTGATGGACTTGTTCCTGAAGGTGAGGAAAAAAAGCTTGCTTTGTGCTTGCAAATATCATGCATGTCTGAATCATGCGCGTGACCTTTGACGCGTCCCTTGCCTGCATAGCATGATTAGTACACGATGCTTACGGCAACTTTCCGCTCTTATGCTGTCTTACTCACCTCTCTGTGACACTGCTTTGAAAGGCTGGAGGATTTTTGGTCTCATATGTGACATTTTCATCTTTGATTTTATTTTATTTTTTTAAAAAGTATCCAGAGGACCTTTTTTTCCCCCTTATAGATCTTTTAAACAGATTCATGAGACTCATTAACACTTAGCTGAGCATTGATAAATCATGCCTATTTGCATCTTGATTTATAAACAAAAAAGTCTTCTGTGTGATGTAATTGCAGACCTCACTGGCTGTAAAAATATGAATCTTTTAGATTTAAAAGGTTTCTGCTATTTGCTTATTTTTACATTTCAAGTCTGCAATCATATTACAGTTTGTTTAATTGTGAAGGTTTTTAAATCTACCTTTATGTCTTGAAGAGACTGGTTAGACAACAGTTGATAATCAGACATCATAGCTTCCTCAGCTTATATCTGTGTATATTCTATGGTGCTAAACTGTGTAAACCAGTTTATGTTCCCTCTAAAAACCAGTGCTTCTTCTCTGCAGCTGAAGTTCTAGTCAATGAGGTTCCAGCTGTGCCGTCCTACATATCAGACCGTTACAAGGTGGGGCGAATGTTAGGAGATGGGAATTTTGCAGTCGTCCGGGAATGCACGGAGCACTCCACAGGACGAGAGTACGCTCTGAAGATCATCAACAAGGGCAAATGCAGAGGCAAGGTAAACAAACATCCACCGAATACGACCCAAAAAAGGCAAAAATTGTACTGACACGTCAAGAAGGCTAAAGCTCCACATAATCCTAACTTCAGAGGATAAATTCTTCCTCCTTTCACCCCATCCGGGTGAGGCAGATGGCCGCCCCTTCTTGAGCCTGGAACTTTCTTCCTGTTAAAAGGGAGTTTTTCCTTCCCACTGTCACCAACACGTTTGCTCAAAGGAGGTCATGTGATTGTTGGCGTTTTCTCTATTTTCTTTGGACTGTTGTGGAGTCTTTACCTTACAGTTAAAAGGGCCTTTAACTATTGTTGTGATTTGGCATCATTTGAAAAAACTGAATTGAATTGAAATTCAGTTTTGATAGCTCATTTTTTTTCCACCCAGAAAAGAATATTTTGCATTTTTAGAGTAATATCCCTATTTTGCTTAAAGACCCGCTGATATCTTCGGGTTAATGTGCAACCTTTATTGGAAGGTTGTAGAAATGTACTCCAAGGTGCTACTGAGTTGCTGTAGAGAGGCTGGTGTGACATACATAAAATAAAAATCTTCTAAATGTCTTCTAAATGATTCCTTTACTGAATGTCTTCCACTTGGCTGAACACCTGAACTTCTTTTTACCAGGAGCACATGATCCAGAACGAGGTGGCCATACTTCGCCGGGTCAAACATCCAAATATCGTCTTACTCATCGAGGAGTTTGACACTTACAACGAGCTCTACCTGGTCATGGAGTTGGTCAAGGTGTGTGGCCATGTTTGTACACTGTTACTTTATGAGTTTGTGCACCATCTGCTCCAGTTAGGAACGAGCAGGGACATTTTGCCAAGCTGAGATAACGGATGGGTGTATTCTCTTACAATACAAGGGTGATCATCATTATCTCAAATCTACGACTTAGAGGAGCAGGGAGGCAGTAATAGTGACAGAGACAGAGGAGCGGCATTCAGCCTGTGAAGCAACTGATGAATTTTTCCAACCAGTCACACAATTCGGGACTAGAGTGAATCCGCCAGTGGCCCCGAGTGCTCGTGCGCTCGCGTTCTTCATTCTCTCTCGCTCTCTGAGTCAAGAAATGTTTGTGCATAATTCAGGAGCCAGGAATGTGATCCATCTGTTCGTGCTGTGATGTGGAGTACTACAGAATATAGATGAGAGGCAATTTGTGGAAGAAGTGTGTGTACTTGTGAGCATGTCCAAAGTAGGAGGATCAAGAGGAGGCTGTGGATGAATGGGGTGAAAAGAGTCGCTGCTAAAATAACAGGGGCCGAGAGAAAGAGAGAGATAGATGAATTGAAAGTAGAGGATAGGCGCAGAGAACGAAAGAGAGAGAAAATGAGTGTTCTTTTGCTTGGTCCTGCTCAGTTCAAGTCCTTTAGTTTAAACTGTGGAAAAGCAATAATGAGGCAATAATGTGATCAGACAAAATTGTGTTGCAATTCCAGGGAAGGCTCATTCCTGTTTTTACAAGCGGAAATGATACCCATAAAAAAGAGTGAGGAGAGGATTTACAAAGGACTGATGTAAATCCCATCTTTTGGCTTAATTTCTCATTGACTAACTTCAGCAGCCACGTCCCAAAACTTTGCAGAATGCCCCCAAATTTACAGCAGTATATTCATGTTCGTGTACTTTTGGGCCTCCGATAGCGGAGGCAGAGAAAAATAAGTGAAATGTATTAGCTAAAGCCTGAGCTGGCATTTGACAACTCTCATATTGAAACAGCTGCCAACGAGCAGGTCAAAGCCTTACAGTGTGCTGTGCTGTTCGAGGATAGAGGGAGATTCAGCACTATTTTAAGCCTCTGTTCCACTTAGTCCACTCAATGAGAGAAACGCAGAGGGAATGAGAGGGAGATTCGGACAGGATGAAAAATCAGAGAAAAGAGACTGAGAAAAGCCTAAAAAATGACAAAAATGAAAAGAAATATTAACGCGGGGGGGTCGTCTTTCAAGCAAGGTGAAGAATTAGGATTTACCCCCACCTCCTTGCTGCTGCTGAGCAGACAAAAAAGTCTTGTGGTTAAATGAAGTTTTTAGCCTCTTTTCAGAAAAAAAAAGGCAAGCAGCTGTGAAAATTTGCAAGTGAATCTGTTCTGCTGGTGCAAAAAACACCAACCAAACTCTTGTGACATCTCCTAATACTGACCCGTCCATCATGTCTTGTCCACAGGGGGGAGATCTGTTCGATGCCATCACCTCTGCCAATAGATACACAGAGAGAGACGCCAGCGGCATGCTCCACAATCTGGCCAGCGCCATCAAATACCTTCACAGCCTCAACATTGTCCACAGAGACATCAAACCAGAAAACCTGCTGGTGAGTGGACGTCACGCAGATTGCATACATGTAACTTGGTGCGGCACTGGTGCACCTCCTCTCCTTTCCCGCCGCCTTTCTGAATGATCAGTGAAGTAATATCACTCACTACGGGGCCCTCCCAGAGCAGAGAGATGACTCATCCCTGCTGCCCTCACACCTTCTGCACGCTCCTTCTCCAGCCTCCCTCGTTTGTTCTTTCCTTCCCTCCTTCTCCCTTCTGTCAAACTCCCCATCGTCCTTGCTTAACTTCAAATACCGCTCTTTGCCCCCCTACTTGAGATTGTCTGGGCAGGAGTCAGACTTCAGAATTCAGCTTTTTAGTGGCCACATTTAAACCTAGTCAGCCGATTTCCTGTTTTGCTTTTTCTCTCCAACGAAATAAGAAAGCCTTGAATGGTTAAAAAAAAAACAGTGGCCTTCTATTCATGTAACTTTTTGAAGGTAATGACATGCAGATTACCCCATCCATGTAGCAGACACCCAGCAACACTAACATTAGTTTTATTTTTGGCCACATAAATGCTTTGCTGCGTTAAAAAGCTGGTCGCTCGCTTCGTCTGTGTCTGTAGGCGTAGGGCAGATAGAGTAGCTACAGCTGTGAGCTGTTAAACAACACACTGAGTGGTGAAATTATTAATAGCAACCCCCATCACATAATGTGTTTTAAGTTTGTTTGTTGTTTGTTGCCCTCATAATAATGCTGTACATTATGATCCTGCTTCTTTTTTTAAAAACATTTTTGCATTCCTGTGTGTTTAGGTGTACGAACATGCAGATGGCAGCAAGAGCCTCAAACTGGGAGACTTTGGTTTGGCGACCGTGGTGGACGGACCCCTCTACACTGTCTGCGGGACCCCAACATATGTAGCACCTGAAATCATTGCAGAAACAGGGTGAGAGCTGCAGCTGCATTTAGCAGGCACCTTTAAGATCAAAGTATGATCACTATGACGGCCAACATATCTGTCGTGTCTTAATCCATTTACAGTAGTAGATATTTGCCTTAAAGGTCATGCTCTGCACGTTTTCTCTATGTTTGCTTTGATTTAACCTCTCTTTTTTTTTCAGGTATGGTCTTAAGGTTGACATCTGGGCAGCTGGAGTCATCACCTATATCCTCCTGTGTGGTTTCCCACCCTTTCGGGGGTAAGTTAACAGCAAGCCCTACCCTACATTTCTCCCTCTGCTTTAGCGCCTTTCTTGAAAGTGTGTTATGCAGGACCCTCTACTGGTCAGCAGTAGTATTGCACCTTTATTTGTTGACTCGCTAATTAATATTTGGTTGATGCACCCATTCACGTGAACTTTTTTTTTTGCAGGAGCAGTGACGATCAAGAAGTGCTTTTTGATCAGATACTAATGGGTCAGCTAGAATTTCCTCTGCCCTACTGGGACAATGTGTCAGAGACCGCTATGGTAAATATCTGCTGTATGTCTGATTGGTGTGGATGGATCTACATGTTATAGAAAATCCAGAGTAAAAAACTAACTGCTTTTTACTTTTGGGGGGGGTGTAGGAGCTGATTCGATCCATGCTGGAGGTGGAGGTCGATAAGAGATACACTGCCCTCCAGGTGCTGGAGCACCCCTGGGTCACTGTAAGTACAGTGTCAGTAAATCTGTTCATTTCCTTTGTTTTCACCAAAACACTGAATTTACTTCCTTTCTCCTCATTTGTCTAATCCAGGACGAGGGTCTGTGCGAGAATGAACACCAGCTGTCGGTAGCAGGAAAGATAAAGAAGCACTTCAACACCAGCCCAAAAGGCACTGACACCACTGCTGGAGTGTCAGTCATTTCTGTAAGTAACCATTAGCAACCATCTAAAGATGTAGCTGTTACACTGAGTTGCATCAGTTTGTAGAGAAATCAGCAAGTTTTTCACGTGGCGTTTAGATTGATTGTGCCGATTTCTCTTTTGTTGTTCAGTTGGATGACAGCTTTTCTATGCAGAGATCTGGGTCGTTGGATTTCTACCAGCACCCGGCCATGTACTGGATAAGGTACGCCAGGTTTCCATAGAGACACGACTGGGTCACAAATCAGCGAGAAATCAAAACAGACCAAAACAGTGTCTCTAAAATTGATGTCTCCCCCTCCTTTGCGTGCTGCCCCGCTGACTGGCTGCTGCTGTGCTGCTTTGACAGCCTCATGTTGTACTTTCTGTGCTCGGCTTTTTGCTTCTCTCCTTTCATCCCTCGCTGTAAACACAGATTTCATTCCTGCATTACCTGCATCGTTATTGTGCGTCACCGGTTAAAGCCTTGTCCTCTGTGTTGTGTCACCTTTTTATCGGTGTCCCCTGCTTTTCTTTAGTGTGTGTGAGTAACGACGTGCCCAATTAGAATCACCCTTGCTGATGATTCTCCTGCACATCTCGTTTGCACAGTTCATTTGTGAATGAACCCTTTCTAAAGAAATAACCCTGCGGTGTTGCTTGTCTGAGTGATTTGCTGTGATGTTTTTGTCTGATGTGATGCTCCCTCACCTGGTTACCTCCTCAAACACCAGGGCTCGTTACTGAGCTCACATTACCTGACTCCTCTTGTGTGACTGTGTCCCCTGATTTAGGAGGACCACAAAGTGCATTGTTATAAAGGTCACAGAACTTAAAGTAATATGGACACTGACTAGAGGAATTAAAAATAGGCTGGAAAAAATTAGCAGTGACTTAATTTATGAATTATTTGGGTTGAGATTCCCAGTTTTCCAGCACGACAGAGTTTAGTTTGACTGATTAGAAGTCCTGAACATGATGGACCCGAACTTGTGCAGATGTTTCTGATTTGTGTTGTGATTAAAAAGTGATATCCAGAATCTCCTCTTTATAATATTTACTGTGCCTGAAAAATTAAACAAGAATGTTGAACCTGCCTTTATCCGAGAGATTTATTGTGGAAAATTAGATAGACTGTTCCTCAGATAAACATAACATTTCAGAAAAGAAGAAACAATTGTCAGTGTCCATGGTTTTTCACTTCCTTGTTACTGTCCAATTAAATATTCATTAGTAACTTAATGAACATGTGCAAAGTTCTTCTGCTCCTCCTTCCTGGATAATCGACTGTGCAGCAGACAGATCTGATCCTTACCTTTTCCTCCTTCTCCTCTCTTTTTCAGGCCACCCCTCTTGATAAGGAGAGGCAGGTTCTCGGACGAGGATGCCACCCGGATGTGAAACCGCTGCCGCTGCAGATGATGCCAACTGTGAATTCAGTAACAACAACAACAAAAACACTACGGGCGGAGCCCCCCAGTTGCCTCCCTGGCCTGCCCACGGCCCCTCCCTCTCTGACCCCTGACACTTGCTCTGACCCCTCCCCAGACCCCAGACTCCCATCCGACTCTGATGACATCTCCATCAGCTCAGCCAGCACCGCCTGCTCCCCCAGCTCGCCCTTCTAGAGAGCAGGCGAAGGGGAGTAGGGGGAGGAAGAGGAGGAAGGTGTGCAAAGGAGGAGGCGGCGAGGGAAAATCCTCATCCAGCTCCTCCCTCTGCATGTGGAGGAGGAGGAGGAGGAGGTGTCAACCCCTTTCTCCCAGTATCTCTGAAAAAAAGAAATAAAAATATCAACAGAGAACTTCACACTTCCCTGAATCCAACTTTCCGAACCTGGAGGAAAGATGGACCAAGGGGTGGATAAGAAGACGTTAGAGAGGTTGGGAGAAAGATTCAAGAGGCAACAAGAAACAGGGATCGAGAGGAAGAGGGGAAAGCCAGAGTGAGGTGAAAGACTTTTGTTGATTTCTTTTTAACATTTTCTCATCTGAGCACATGTTGTAGAGCTCAAGGAGCAAGAAAGGGCTTTACCCTTCAGTGATGATCCGGGCTCGACATGGAAACTTCCTCAAGGCGGAACAGCTCTACAAGGCAATATGAGAATATGGACCAATGTTCATGTTTTATTGAACCTTATTTATTCATACTTTAATTCACAGCATTTTTTGATATGTATTTCTCTTTTTCATAGAAAAAAAAACAATGTTTTTATTGACTTCTCCTTAGAGCTTGGTGGATTTAAAATAATGGCAAAGTGCTTAGAAGTAGAGTGCAGAAACGTTTAAGTAGGTGACAGCAGACGTGATGAAAACACAATGTTGGAAAGCGAGCTAAAACACGTTGGGGAAGGATTTTATGGTTTTTTTCAGTTGCAAAATGTGTTTTAAAAATGGCTTTGATGAAAAAAAAAAAAGATGAAATTGTGCTGTGACGCTGTGCTCAACACAGTTTCGGCGCTGCCTTCCCCCGTAACGTTGGATCGCAGTCATACAGTTTACATTTTACACAGACTGCTATTCTAAGACGACAATGGTGCATTTGACTGCTCCTTCTGGTTTTGTTACTTGCTCGGTTCACGACATCTTGATACACAAAACTCAGCAGCATCCTGGTGCTTGTGTAGCAAACTCGACATCTGAACCCATTTGTCCTCAAGCCACACATTTTCACAGTGATCATCACGCTAATTCTTTTTATATTTTATGAACACTAGACACATGTTTCATCAACATGTTCAAGCTATGGTTGGTGCAGCTCAAGTATATGGTTACACAGACACGTTTTCAGATGGAGAAGGCGCACAGTTAACAGTTCACAAGAGGTGCCTATTTGCACATTTGCACTGCAGTCTAGGTGCAGTGAGACATGATCGAGAGAATGACAGTATGGATGCCAGAGAACCAGCAGTACAGCGAAAAAGGGTGGAGGAGAATTTATTTCAGCTCTGTACAACCTCATTCATGGCTTCATTTCTTCAGATGAAAGCATGACAGACATACAGTAGCCTATTCTTATAAAAGAAACAGTTTAGTGATGAAGTATTGTTTATATGTTGTGTAAATAACAATTTTATTTATTTTGATAGTTCACAATACAGTATATTTCTTTACTAGTAGTCAGTCTATGAGAATTGTACAATAATAATACAAAAAAATACAACAAAATCAGTCATACATGCGTATCAGTCAGTCAGCGAAGAAAAAAATAATAAACTAGAGGAGATCATCAGGTTGATGTGAAGCGTTAAGCATGGGTGAGTTGGATGGATCGGTAGTGGATATGAAGAAGAGATCATCAACTTTGCCTCCTACTGGGAATGATGTCACTTCTTTTCTTCAGAAAAGCAGCCAGTAATATGGTTTCCCTTAAACTGATGTGAGATAAGAGATGAGAAGACAGATGAGTGAGAGAAATACACAGAAGTGTTAGGTTTTTTTGTTTGTTTGTTTTTTGCAGATGATCTCCTTGCAGTCGTCACACCAGTCAGACTCTCTGTATTTATTCTCATCATTGCACATATGCGGTAATGTGCTGCCATATTGACCAGATCAGTATGAACTTGTGCTCTCCAGCGCACGGACACGTGGTTTACCAAAGTGCTCTCACAGCTGACCCACTGTATTACAGTCCATTGCAATACCAATACCTGTACCTCTGTTCAACAATGGTCTATGACTATAGTAATAATTAAAATATGTTTAAAATCAAATTGTTTGAGTCTTTTGTTTTGTGTTTAGCTCCTGTTTATAGGACTTTTGTTTCATTACCGGTCTGTACCAAATACACAACTCAGTCCTTGGCTTAACTTTTTATCCATACAGACGTCAGTTTTGTTTTCTATGAAATAATTGCACTTATTCCACACAGGCCCTCTGCTTATTATTAACTTTTGAATGCTTGGTGGTACTTGGCTCTGTTATGGATCCTGTCTGGATTTGAGTAGAAAGTGTGCAGAGAGGTTATTTGAAAACCTTCTGCGAACATAAATTGTAAATGAAAGATGAATGTATTGAAAGTATGAATTTAAATTCATACTGGCTGCGGGAGCAAGGCCAGAACATCCAAGTAATATGCTTCCTAGCATACCCCTCTTCCATCAAGCCTTTTCAAGAAAGGTGTCTATTTTAGTCTATTTTTACACATAGTAGAACTCTAATGTGTCCATGTGACAGGAATATTGTGAACATAAGCATCCACTATGATTAGGAAAGGGTAAATATATAAGTAGGATTGTAGGGGCATTGCCCTTTCAGCAGGCAACAGTGTTATAGTAAACATCTCACAAGTTGGTCGTAGTTGCCCGTAACTGGCGTGCATATGTTATTTTGACCACTAGGTGTCGCTTTAACACATAAACCTAAAGCAGAGAAGAAGAAGAAGATTTTCATGTTTCCTGACCGGTGACAGGCTAAACCAATAGAAGTAAAAACTATGACATTTGCTTCTGAAATACTGGAATATTTATGACCTTTTATTTAGAAATTAATTTAACGTCTAATACTGGAAAAATGGACCAGTAAATGTAAGCGAGTAGCTGTTTTAGCTAACCAACGTGGGGCTACTAGCTAGGTCGCTGTAGCGTCGTTTGTTTGTTTGCTGCTATCATGAGCGAAGAAGACGCTTCCGTATCATCAAGTAAGGACAAAGACTCCACTCTTCTGCTTACTAAAGACGGACATAGGTACTATGTAAATAAAAGCGGAGTTGTGGACAGTAGAAATGTGATAACGCCGCACGAACCGGAGAACAACGCCTCCTACGACATGGACGATCCGGACGAAGAGAGCGACGTTCTGGACGCCTCAGATCCCAGAGACGGCGCAGCTAGCCCGGAGGAGCTCAACGACGAAGAGACCTCCGAGGGCGACAACGCCCCCAAACAGTGTACCTACGATGGGTGCACGGAGACAACGACGCAGGTGGCCAAGCAGAGAAAGCCATGGATGTGCAAAAAACACCGCAACAAAATGTACAAAGACAAGTACAAGAAGAAGAAGAATGATAAGGCCATGTCCAGTGGGAAACTTGATGTAAGTTAAATACTCTCAGTGCTAGAAGCATTTACCATGATGTGGAGGTCCACACTTTAGAGCCAAGCCACAAACAAAACCTGCACATTTAATTGCGTTTTTCTGTCTGTAGGAAAACTCTGAAGAACGTCCTGTGTCTGTGAACAAACAGCGTCTAGGTGCCATGGGGGACCGTCCAGCCAGACCTTCTCTGATAGAGCAGGTCCTCAACCAGAAAAGACTGGTAAGACTGGTTGATTGTTCCATGACGAACATGCAGACAAATGACAAGCATATTATTCTGTGGCACCCGGCTTTAAGGGTTAAATGGACATGAAATGTGATATATTTGCATGAAATCGCATATTTGCTGCAGATTTATTGGCTGCACATCCACAATATGACTCTCCTGTGCCACCACATCCCTAAGGTGTTTACTGGATTGAGATCTGTGACTGTGGAGATCATTTGAGTGCAGGGAACTCACTTTCATGTTTGGGAAACCAGTTTGAAATAATTTGAGCTTTGTGACATAGCTTTTTGTCCTGCTGAAAGCAGTGATGAGAAGATGGGTACACTGTGGTCATACAGGAATGGACGTAGTCAGCAGTAATACTCAGGTATGCTGTGGCATTTAAACAATGTTCATTTGGTACTAAGGGAAACAAAGTGTGACAAGAATATATCGTCCTCATCATTACAGCATCGCCAACAGCCTGAAACATTGATAGAAAATTTGATGAATCTATGCTTTCCTGTTGTTTACCTAGATTCTGAACCAACCACTCGAATGTCCAATTTTGATGAGCCATACTGACTGTAGTCTTAGTTTCCTTTTCTTTGCTAACAGCAGCAGCATTGGTGTGGTCTTCTGTTGCTGTTGCCCAGCTGCTTCAAGGTTTGACATGTTGTGTTTTCAGAATAGTTTGGTTCTAGCAAATGGTTGTTTATTTCAGCTCAACACAGTCCAGCCATTATACTCTGACTTCTGGCATCAACAAGGCATCTTCACCCAGAGAACTGTTGCTCACGGGGTATTTTGTCTGTTTTTGGACCATTCACTGTAAACCTTGGAGGTGGTTGTGTGGGAAAATCCCAGTAGAGCAACAGAATCTGAAATGGAGCAGCCAGACTGGCACCAACAACTACTCTAATGCTTAGCCTGAATTTCAGAAGGTTTTCACCATGTCTCCCTTAATGCTCGAGTTGAGCTGCCGTTTGCTTTTTAATGCAGTTGAACAGGGCCACCTAATGATGTGGCCAGTGAGTGTAAGTGTCCTTATTCTTAGTTTCACATATTTTGTTTTCTCAAAGGAGAACCTTTAACGTCTCCTTTTTTTTTTACTTTACAGTTTTTTGGTTTTGGGTTACACTGATGTATTTTCTTCCAATGATCCCAGAATTAGGAAAGTTTCTTTCAGCTGGACTAAAAAAACAAAAAAGAAAACTTACATAAAAAACAGGCATACACGCAAACCCAAATACTGTAATATTTTAAAAGCCAACAATGTTCCAAGTTCATAGAACTCGAAGATTCCCGGGAATCATGGGAAAACACCTATTGGTAACATTAAAGCATCCAGTTCATAGAACAGTTATGACACATATTTTATTAGTGAAAGCAGAGTAATGTTGATTGTCTTGTACTGCAGCTTTGTAGTGAAATATCTTATGTTTTCCAATGTATTTGTCTTGCAGTCGCTTCTCAGGAGTCCAGAGGTGATCAGCTTCCTGCAGCAACAGCAGCAGCTTCTAGCTACACAGAGCCGTAGCCAGTCACAACAGCAGTTCCAGAGCTGCTGACGGTGGGTGGCGGGCGTTAGTTTTTGTGATGCATAAAGCGCACTAAAGAAATACACTGGCATCTGATGCGTAAATGAATCGTAAGCGTACACTGAAAGCATGGATTTCTTCCGTCATGCTGTGAGAGAATAAAAGGACATTTTGAAGTTGTGCTGAGAATGGAAGACTAAACTGATTCAACTCCCAGAGAGTGAAGATTTCTTCAAATCACATACTGACCATGTATTTAAACCAGGACTGGTGCTGTTTTTGGTACATTTTGTCCTAAATTTAAGCCAATATTCGTTTTCACTTTTTGTTCATTTTAAAAACATTGTCCTGTTTTGTTTTGTTTAGTTGTTGAAACTCCAGTTCAGACTGTTTTCTCTGGAAGAATTGCGCCTTATAGGAAATGTTGTGATTTGGTGCAGTATTAATAAAATAAAATGAGTTATAAATCCTTAGTGTGTGTGTGAGATTTAACTTGAAATGCTATTGTTGTGACAATCATTTGTGTGGTGCATGTCGTTTCCTGCAGGTTGACGACTTGGTTTTGACAAGACTTTGTCTATTCTCCCTGAACTGTTGCACAAACCTTAAGTGATAACTGAATACAGAGAAGGAGGGATATACTTTACAAATGAAACTCTGTTACTGCATTATCCCTCTGTGTTTAAGTTGTAGTGTTTGTCCCTGATGAGTATATGACAATAAAAAAAGATGCAATATGAGTTTTTTTTTTTTTAATGAGAAAAAAAAAACAAAAAACAAAAAACAAAACACCAGAAATTCAAACCTTGGAAAACTGGAATCACAGAAAAAACTTAATGTAAAAAGTAAAAAGCAACCAGAACATGAAGTCAAACATTGGTTGACACAAATACAGTACATACCACACCAATAACACTTTGGACGTATAACAGTTTAAGTACCTACAAATATATCCCACTTTTCCTGTGCAGTTAAAGCATCCCAGAGGAAACGGAAGAGGCTAACTGCGTTATACTGAAATTAGGAACGCTTAGTGTAAATTCAGCTAAATAAAATTCATCTTCACGTCTGCTTTAGCCGTGTGACAAAGGTGTAACGCATCTTTGTAACTTTGCATGAGATGTCAAATGTAGGACAGAAAAATGTACAGAATCTGTGACTACCTGTCAGGAATGAGAGCGCGCGCACACACACACACGCAAGGTGTGTGTCTGTGTTCATGTTACGACACTGAAGAAATTGGGTTGTGTGGGGAACCCATCTGTGTAAGGACTTTATCCAGCCACTGCAGCGGCCCATGCAGATGCACTTCAATCCAGCAGGGGGTGCTGGTCACATCTTGACGGTGGTATTCAGCTCCCCAGCCCTAAAGGAAAAGATGCAACAACTGGTCAGCTGGTAATATTGGCTCTTCAGTTAACTATAAAATATTTAATGCAAAGAAAACAAGTAATCCCACCTTGTGTATGGGAGGATCTGACATGACTGGCAGCACTAAGCATGGGAATTTTAAGTTACCCTGAGAAACTGAGCGTATATCCAACCCTTCTCATTTGATTTTGACTGAGCATGAATAAAAGCATTCGTATGCACTACAGAAGTTAATTTCACGGTTTCCAACCTGTACCGACCTCCGTTTCTATGCATCTAAACAAACAAAACTGAGAATTGCCATAATGGGCGCAAAAATTGCTATCAAATAATCAGCATCCTCTTTCATAAGAAAGCTCAGTCAGTACCTTTACGAAGCTCATGCGGATGGTGCACATCTTGGTGAGCTCATAGACGACCTCGAAGCCGTGGTTAACGGACTGGGCGAGAAGCTGAGCAAACAGCTGGTTGTTAAAGATCTTGAGGCTGCAGCCACTGGGAATCTTGCACACGGTGGTGGTGTGGAAGCCGTGCTGGAAATTACAGTTGCGACTCT